TCATATATTTTACATTATAGCTTTTAAGACTACATTTTTATAGTATAAAAAACAATTTTTCTCTAATTTTAAGGTTAGAAGGTTTCAAAATACAAAAGAAAAAAAAAATACAAGAGATTGCACTAGGCTTGTAGAACACAGAAAGGTGCCCTATTGACTGATAGGTGAATAGGTGAAAGGATAGTAGAGAGAATAGAAAACTTGGAGCTCTCCAGCATCAGTGTTTCATTACCCGACTACACGGTATATCAAATAACCATTGCGCCTGTAAAACAACAACGTGGTGAAGCCAATAATTCCCTGTCTGAAAATCCAAAGCCAACAGCTGCTATCTTGGATTGAGCAGACATTTGAAAGATAAAGTCCTCATTCGACAAACAAATATCAAACCTTACTGTATTCTGCCCGCAAATATGTTATGCCATTTATTGCTTAGAGCGCATTATGGAGTGGTCAAACATCAACCATCAACCATTAACCGACTATACATGTAACCAACTAACGAGATGGCGCATCGAAAAACACCAACAGCTGGCTAACCAAAAATGGCTAAACACATTAGCCGCACTCACGTTTTGTCACCACTTTGTTTACTGGTAATCAAGCATGCACGTCATTGCATGCGGATATGCATATTGTATGTACATATATATATATATATGCATGTATATATATATGTATGTATGTCCAAGTACATATACTAACGAATTCAAAAATTTCTTGTCGCATTGGCTGCCTAATTGCTGTTAAAAATTTCACTTCCCTCGAGTGGCGCGACATTTTCTGTCTGATTTTGGTGTGAAAGTCCACAAATTCGGAGAATTCGCGTGTACAGTTTTTCGGAAATTACGTGCATTCGATTTGAATTCAAATTTTCTATTTTACATACTCTTATGGTAGGCACAGAAATGCAGCAATAAGCCGGAGAAATATATGTATACACGTATGTATATATGTACGAGTGACTACCACGAGGCGTCCTTAGTTTTTCAATAATTTAAGGGTATTTAATGTATGTCCATTACTGCATTTTGTATGTGTGTATGCACAAACGTGCGCGTATATGTATGTATATATATATATTTGCTATTGCAGTGATGTGGTTTATGGAATGTCAAAAGCTTTGCAAAAATTGTAATTAGAGGAAATTCCAACAGCAAGGTTTCACCTTGCATCCATACATATGTGCTCGTATATATGTAATTATGTACATAAGTCTATGCGCAAGTGCACATAATAAACGCATGACCATTAATTAGTTTGCCACATTAAGCTTCCTAAATTTTAGTAAGAGTTTCGTTGAAAAACAAAATTTTCATTTTAAGTCATTTTATTTAAACCGAAATTAATTAAATCGCTAGGAGATGTTTTGTCTCCTTAAAATCGAGTATCAACTTTGCTCTTATTATATATTAAAATCGTATGTTAGTAAAGATCCACAAATATCGGTCCTAGGTAAGATAAAGGGCTCCTGTAGGGCACAAATAGGTGATCTGAACACCGAGACCCAGAGCATATTGAATTTATAGAGGCAACACTTCTCCAGCCTTCGGAATAGCAGTGAAAATAGAGTATCCGGAGATGGTAAACCCGAAACCCTAATCGATGACTATGGAAAAGACGTTCTACTAGATGAACATGAAGAAGTTCGAATAGCAATTGGCCGCCTAAAAAACAACACAGCAGCTAAAGCTGACGGCCCACCTTTAGAACTATTCGTGTATGGTAGGGAAGAGCTGAAAAGGGGCATACATCAGCTACTTTGCAGAATATAATCGGACGAAAGCATACCCGACGATTGGAACTTGAGTGTGCTCTGTCCAATCAATAAAAAGGTGATCCCATAGTCCTGCGCCAACTATCGTGGGATAAGACTCTTTAATATCGCCTATAAAGTCCTGTGGAGCGTATTGTGTGAAAGACTGAAGCTCACCGTCAAAAAACTGATTGGACCTTATCAGTGCGGCTTCAGACCTGGTAAGTCAACCATTGACCAGATATTCATCATCCGCCAAATCTTAGAAGAGACTCCTGAAAAGAAGATCGACACCCACCACATTTTCTTCGATCTTGAAGCAGTCTTCGATGGCACGAAAAGGAGCTGCCTTTACGCCGCTATTTCTGAATTTGGTATTCCCGCAAAATGCTAGGCAACATCAGGATCGCAGTCAGAATATGGAAGGATCTCTCTGAGTCGTTTGGTACCAAACGAGGTTTCAGGCAGGGTGAATCTTTTTCGTGTGATTTCTTCAGCATGATGCTGGAGAGAAAAAGAAGGACTGCAGAGCTGAGTAGAGAAGGTACAATATTCTATAAGAGTGTACAACTGCTGGCTTACGCCGATGACATTGACATTATTGGCCTCATCAACCCACTTTCTCCAGCCTTGATAAAGAAGCGAAGCAAATGGGTCTGGTATTGAAAGAGGACAATACGAAATATCTCCTGCCATCGAACAAAAAGTCATTGAATTCGCGATCCGGATCCCACTTCACTTTCTTTCGTAGATAACCTCGTCTATCTAGAAATCAGCATTAACATCAATAATAACGTCAGCTTTAAAATATAGCGCAGAATCACTCTTGCCAACTGGTGCTACTTTGAACTGAGTAGGCAATTAAGTATCAATAGTTGACAGCAACAGATTTTAGATGACATTCACGAAATTCTTATGGGCATGATGTACGATTATTTTCAAAGATGAGTATTCAAGTTAGCGCTCTTATATAAAAACGTGCTGACGATGTACAGCGTCAAATATCCAGCTTTATCAAAAAGTTGTCAGTTGCCAAAACCCAGATTTTTGGCTAAATATTATGAGGAGATTTTCCTTTTAAAAATGGTTTAATCAAAGTGTGACACTTTCGCATGAAACATTCAATAACCTTTGGGGGGAGGGGGGAGAGATCAGGTAATCATTTCAGTAATTGGCGAAAATGGCGAAATACTGGTCAATAGACTGAAATACTATAAGCTTTGTTGTGCGTCTGAAAATAATATTGAAAGTGTAGAAATATTAAATCCATTATTTATGTCGCCTGCTTTTGAGCCTAAACTCGAGTGAATTGAAATCTCAAAATTTAAATAAAAATCAGATACAACAACTAATTGCAATTAGCTAAAACCTACAAAGGCTTAAACAGCTTAACCACAAGCGATAAATGCGAATGCAAATTTTATGCATCAAATCGAAGTGTTGGTGAGCTCTACCAGTATGCGTCTGTGTGTGTGTGAGTATACTAAATAGAATTTACACACTTACGCAAACAAAAAGCATAGGCATTTTAATCCATATGAGGGTGTAACCTGGCACTCACGACGCAATTTATATTAAATATTTTCAATTGAAATGTCCACCGAGGCGTATGAGCAATCAATGAATAAATCTAAAGCGCTGTGGCAAACGCCATTTTGAATCTCGCCAAACATTTATATTTTTATTTATAAATATATATATTTTATGCCTTTACTTATTAAATAAAAATATGCTTAAATATGTATGTGTAAAAGCAATTTGTATGCTTGCCTGTACAGCCATTAACCATAACCCCTTCCACGACCAATCACTCACCCAAATAGATCCGCCTCACTGCCCGGAAAGCTGATGCGTGGCGACAATGGTGATCTACCTGACCGCTTCAATAGCTCGTGTAGGCCAGCTGGCGCATGTATGGGACTTAAAATGGTAATTTTGCGGTTGGGTGGCGCCAACAGACCGCCAGACAGGGTTAGCTGTGTGCGTATGCCAGACGATTGTGATGATGTTTTCATTTCGATGGTCTCCGCGGATTTGGAGATTAAAATCGAAGAGGATTGCTGTAGGCCCAGCTTGTTGGTGGATACTTGCAGCATGCCTGTATCACCACTCACCTCACCTGTGCCGGTTTCTTCGATTTGCGTTGAAGCACTGCGTATACATTTCTCAGGACGTTGACTACCGCTCAACGCGCCAGTAACTGGATGTGCTGTTGCTTCGGAGTGTGCCGATGTGGAGCGTACAAATTGACGTACATGCTTTTGGTGTGCGGTTAGGAAACTGCCACTACTTGAGCTGATGGGATGGCTCGATGTGTCGGGTTGTTGTAGGAAACTCTTGAAATTCGTTTTGGTCGATGAAGACGACGTTGTGGACGCCATTTTCTGTATATAACTACGTTGTTCGCTGGTCACAATCGAGGTGCTCGATTGCGCCTTTAATTGGCCACTCAACTGGGTAATGGCCGTATTGCCAGCACCCAAACCGCCGATACTGCCGCCCAGTTGACTCAAGAGTGAATGATCGCCGCTTACCATTGCGGCTGATTGTAGACTCTGACTGCGTGTGCTAGTCGTTATGGTCTTCTGTGAGTGCAGCACTTGGCTGCTAACCTGTTGTTGCTGTTGTGTGGAAACGCTGGAGCCTAGCGTTGAACTTGTATTGCCATCTAGCGAATTACTGCCGCTCTTCAGTGTGGTCGAACTGCTGGCAATGGAGAAGGAACGACTGGCCATTTGTGTAGCCATTTGGCTAAAAGCTCGCTGCTGTTGCTGCTGCAATGTTGTTGTCTGCTCACCGACTGCACCACCTTCACCACACTCCAAGTCCTGCTCGGAGCGCACCTCATCGGCGTCCACCTCACTCGGTGTGGTCACAATGTATTGGGGTGGTGAGACTTTGCCGTCCTGCGACATTTTTCGACTGTTTTCGGTATGACACAATAATGTAAACTCTGCTGCTGGCTAACTTGTCACTAGTACGGAGATCTTGTTGGTTTTTAGTTTAGGTTTTTTGCTGGCCCAGCGCTGCGGGTGATCTTTAAGAGACGTAGTTTGAACGTTGTGCTCGGCGTATGCGATGATTGAGATTTTCTCGCTCGTGGCGCATATGCCAAAACATGTGACGTTGTTGTTGCGATTATGATTAGTGTGAGTTTATAGCGTTTAACCTCAGTTTAGCGTTTGGGTTTAAAGATATTTTTGCGCCTAAAGCTGCACAGCGATTAAAATATGCAATTTACCGTTATTCGTGTACTATGTACATAAGCATGAAAACACTTTCGAATCTGTAAAGTAAGTTTGAATATTATATAAAAATTTTATGGGTAAATATTTTATTGGAAAAAACGTGGTCGAGAAGTTTTTGCCGGGGGCCTTTGGGTCTTCGCACTTTCCATGCAATCCGCAGTCATTCTCTTATTGAAACAATATTTTTTTTGGTTTTTTTGGAATTTTGCGAAATAAAATTAACTGAATTGTGTTAGAGTAGCTAAGAAAGTATTTAAATACTTATTTTTTACTAAATTTAAAAAAAAAATTTCAAAAATTTTGAACATTTGGAAATGTTTAATGTAGGCATGAAAATCTGTTGTTTATACAAAAATTTATTAAACAGTTAAATGTTGAATGTTATTACTGTTCAAAGTAAGTTCTTTAATTGATTGCATGAAATTTTCCTCAAAAATTATATTTCTGATAATTTTACACAAACTCAAGCCTGGAAAGCAAATTTGAAGAAATTTTACGCATAATAAAATGACATATTGGCAAGTTGAAGTTTCTTAATATATTTCCCATCTGCTAAATACGGTTCAGATATATAACGAATAATATATTTGTACATATCATCAACAAGGTAAGTATATATATGCGCATATGTATACAACATGCGGATTGACAGCTGAGAATTGCAACTGCTCAACGGTGCAATACAATTTCGATATTTCAAAGTAATCAGCAAACCAATATGACAACTAACAAGAAGGCGGAGAAATGTACGAATAATTAACACACACACATATACGCACATTGAATTCACCACACACGCACACACATGCACACTCACACACAAAGATTAATTGCATACAATCTGCATATGCTTATTGCAACGCCTTAACGAAATGCAAATGTTCGCTGCAAATTGTTGTTATCTTTTACAAACGAAATTTACGATAAAGCTGTGCGAATGGCTTGATGGGGGGAGGGGGAGTTGGATATGAAAATATTGATTTAAAAATTAAAGAAAGTAAGAGGGGAAAGAAAATAATATTAATCCACTTTTGCAGGGTGAATAATTGCGTTGGTTGATGGTGGGGACGCATAAATGAATTATATTTACTGGAAAAAATTCATAAACAAGTTTAAAGGTGAAATTGCAAAAAAAAAATGTAATAGAATTTTTTCAAAAGTATCAGAAATTTATTGGAATTATTTTACAAAAATATAAACAAGACCTCAACTAAGTTTCGTCAATTGTGGTTCATACAAGCAGATCCGTCATCACGCTGCTGTGCTTTTCTATATATTTCACAATTATTTTGGTATTACAAAGAATGCTAGAAACTCCTAATAAAGCATCATCTGAAGCCAAATATGAAGTTTTTTTTTTATAAAATTTTTAATTTTACTCAAAATCCTTTATAAAATTGTCAGTGTGAATGTCTCTAAGTAAGCCCAATACATCATTCGAATGCTTCTTCACCCTCAAGTTGAATCTATAAGAACGGCTTGTAAGATGCAGCCGCAGAATAATAAAAATGAGAGGCATACATATCGGCGCATAATCTATGCAGACGATCTAAATAATACTAAATTTTGTCAATATGTCGTTGAACCTCTCCCTTCAGAAAACATCAAATTTATTTTGAGCCAATCGTACCATGTTCCAGAACTCTAACCCATTTACAAAAGGGATATACAACGAAGTATGAATATGTATATTTCTTCAAATGGATCGGTCCACTTTCTTAAATGAAAATAGTTTCAATTTGAAATATTAGTCCCAGGTCCACTTTTCTGATGCTTCCCCAAAACTTCCGCAAATATTTTGATATCAAAATTAAACAAACCGTTCGGGCCGTTCGCGAATTCAAATCGTGTTTACATTCCAGCGATTAAATTTTACATACCAAAATTTTTTTGGATTATTATGAAGGACACTTTTTAAAGATTTTTGGTTTTCAATGTGGCCATATTCTTTTTCGGAGGTGGTCTTCTTGACAGTCCCAAATATTTAATGGAGGCATAGTTGTCATTTATTTTTAAGACACAATAAAAGCCCTTGTCTTTATAATAAAGCTTAATGCTTGTCCTTAACATTAAACACTATGGCTTTTATATTTTCTTGAAACCCAAGTGTCTGAAGTAAGCAACCTTAAATATAGAAGCAAAATTTACAATTTAAATCACAAAATACAAGTACTACCAGTCAAATTCTCTACCTATGTAAGCCTGAAAGCACTAAAACCACAAATGACGCACGCACAAGCACACATACATACTCATTTTCTGCACTACACTTCACTGGCGTCATTACATGCCGCCCTGTTGCATATTTTACGGCGCTTTATAGTACTATTTTGACTTCTCAACTTTCTCTTTATTTCCAGCTGCAACTACGTGTTTTATGCAATTTCACAGTTTCCGAATGCACAGAATTTTATTGTCGTTCTTGTTTTGTTTCACATCGGTTGCGTTGGTTATGTGGCAAGCTGCATGGCTGTTACGTGTTGCACGTGCAACCAAGCCAATGAATTGAGTAAGAAATAAATAGTCAAATGATTGCGAAGTTGCTTTGCGTATGCATTATTTGCAATAGATTTGGATTTAAAGTGGAAATAAAAAGAGAGATTTTGCACAAAATTTTAAATTTAATTGAAATTTCAATAAAAAATAAATAAAAATAATTTAGATGACTGTTGAGTAGTTAGTGAAGTGTAGAGACCCTAATGGTTGTCATTTGTATGCAGAATAAAATTTGCTTTAGATTATTAATAAGCTTAAAGCTCTTTCGTAAACAAATTTTATTACAAATTAAACCTTCAGTATGAAAATATTCCCATTTTGTTCATTTTAACTGTTCGAAACACATCCAACCCGTCGGACAGCTAATTGAACACAAACCAAGACTCGCTTGTATACACAAAAAGGGACGTATTCCAAAATGCGTGCGTGTAGAGATCTTCAGAAGCTGTCCGACATGAATAATGATCGACTTAAAGAAGATTTTAAGACCGGACCATGCTGCTGTAAGACACAGAGAGCTCATTTTTTGACTGATGTCCATAGTATACGGCATTTATGGAAGGAACACTATTTTGGCCTGCTCAATTGTAGATACAGCTGGAGACCGCGAGCCCGATCCCCCCATTGATGAAGATGAAGATGGAACAGATGTTTTCCGTTGGATTGGCGGCCGTTCTATTCATATACTGCGGCGAGGAATTAGAAATACAGAAAATATATGGTTGAAAGTTTGATCAGCCCAGTGCATAAAGTCCATAAGCCTCCTTCGTATCACATACATGGTTCTATAAAACATATAGGCCGTAAGACTAAAGTCATAACACGCGCCATTCGTTTCTTTTTTTCGAAATTTTGGTGCCAATTGCAGATACCAATCAGCCAGGTTCGTCTCTACCTGGTCTTTCCAAAGGAGTAAGGGTCTTCTTCTTCCACTGCCTCCACCGGAAGTTACTGCATCGAATACTTTCAAAGCTGGAATATTCTTATCCATCCGGACCACATGACCTAGCCAGCGTAGCTACTGCTTTTTCGCTGATTCGCTGAACTATGCCGATGTCAACGTATAACTCGTAGAGCTCATCGTTCCATTGACTGCGATATTCGCCATTCCCAACTTGAAGAGGACCATAAAACTCACATAAACCCTTTCTCTTGAAAACTTCTAACGCCGACTCAACAGATGTTGTCATCGTTCATGGCTCCGCACCATATAGCAGGACACGAACAATGATGGACTTGTAGAGTTTGGTTTTCGTTCGCCTTGAGAGGACTTTACTTTTCAATTGGCTGCTCAGTCCAAAGTAGTACCTCGTGGCAAGAGTGATTCTGCGTTGTAATTCAAGGCTGACATTATTATTGGTGTTAATGCTGGTTCCTAGGTAGACGAAATTATCTACAACTTCAAAGTTAGTACTGTCAATAGTGAAGTGGGAGCCGAATCGCGAATGCGATGACTGTTTGTTTGATGACAGCAGATGATAATCGACAAAGAAGTATTGTGGGGTCGTTTCCAAGACATGATGCATGGTGAAAATGTGGTCAATAGTGGATTAACCAGGTCTAATAAATTGCTTGACGATAGGCTTTGTATACACTGAAGCGAGTTTTGGTCGAGCTTCTCTCGATTTGTGGTATACCTCATGATGTTTTCCCAACAAATGGAGAGAGACAGAGCATAAACTGTATAGCTGAGCCAACTTCTAGCGGCCAATGGATTTTTAAGAGATTATTTCATGTCAGAAATATACTCGAAGGAAGGACAATCCTCGCCGTATGTTGAATACAGTTCGAAAAATTATCTTTTTAAGGTTTTAAGTTTCGCTGGCACCAGGATTACAACCCTGGCCTTTCGAATGGTATTACGCACGGCATTGTTTGTGGTCAAGGGTTGATTGGAAGAACTATTTCCGTATTTTATATATATATATATATATAGGTGTATATTTATCTAACCAATTGATATCTATGTATGTATATACACATTGCTGCCTGAACATACCTTTATGCATAATTTGTTAACTTCAAGTAATGCATGTAGTCTGCCATCACAATATTATGAGTATCACGTTATTGGCAGAGACGTGTTTGCTAATATTAAGCAGAAAATACTGACAAAGTCAACAATGTAAGCTTTATTTTATGCTTAAAAGCGATGCAGAAAATTTGTTCACATACAAAAGTAGACAATGCATGCACACATGAATGTATGTTTGTATGTGTGTTGTCATAACAAAGCATACAAATATTCTCCGTGTATAAATAGAAATGCAGGTACCGAAGAAGAATATAAAGGAGAAGAAGAAGGAGGAGCGGAAGAATAAAAAGAACGAGGATGAGAAGAAGAAGTCACGTAAAACTTGCTAACTATGAGTATTTTCGGCTTGAAGCAAAATATAAATTTGCACAAAGCGAAGCAAATGAAGCAGAGTTTCGGTACTGTTATTGAATTTTAAATTTGCTGCACTCACTTTTCTCAATCAACAAGATTTCAGATTTTTTTTTTAAATGAATGTGTAATGCACACAAAATAAAAATACTTAAAAT